TCAAGTTATTCACCTGAGAGTTTTGATATTTTCATATATTTCTCTGAATGACTGTAGGATCTGTATTGATGTGGCCCCTTTCCCTTACTGTTATTGGTGACATGGCTTCCAACAAGGTGATTGGCAGAATCACAAACAGAATTCTGTATACCTGAAGCTTCTGTGTTGAATTATATCGTATGCCAGAATATTAGAGCAGCATGAAGCCAGTCTCTCATGACTGCCTGCATTTATCTTCTGTTCCATCTGCAATTCCAAAGCCCTGCCTGCGTTTCTAACATCAGAAGAAAAGGATACAAGTGTAGATCTTGCACCTTCTCCCAAAGCTCTGGTATCTTTAGGATCAGAATTGATAAACGTGGCTCTATACTCAAAGCTATCATGAAGTCTGGTTTGTAAAATTCATGAATTAAAGAGTTTTAATATCCTTGTAAGATTATAATAAACTAGGATTATGTGACAGAAACTGGATGTGACCTAAAAAGTTCAAAATATGAAATCTGTGGACATTTAAGGGAAGCATGTGTCGCTTCCCAATGGAACCTGTCTGAGCTTGCCCCACCTCTTCTGCTTTAAAAATTGATGCTTTTTCAGGGAAGGGGTTTGATGGGAATTCAGTTCTTCAGGTTTCTTAAGTTTAAAAAAATGAGGAAACATTTTTTTGTATCCTCTTATCTCTCTCTCTCTCTTTGTATGCAGTTTGGGATTTTTGGTTTTTGGTGCTTGTTTGGCTGGTTGTTTGTTTAGAGACCAAACACCTGAAAACAGGGACACATAGGGAATTTGCTTACCACTGAGGCTGCCCCAAACCCCTGTTGAAAATAAGGAATAACATAGACATCTCCTTACTAATAATTTTAAAAAATATACCCATTTTAAGTTGTTAAATAAGCAATACTTTATGTTAAGTATAGACCCATTATTCCCTTTGTTCCTGAGACAGTTTCTCTTCCCCTTTCATATCATACACATGTATGTAACTATGGATCTATATAAAATCTAAGATTCATGAATAACAAAATATATTTCTCTTTCTGCGGCTGGCTTAATGACTTAAAACAGTTATCTCCAGATACATCCACTTTTCTGCAAATGCCATAGTTTCAGTCTTCTTTATGGCTAGAACAAAGTCCATCATACCTGGGTAGTGATGTGTCCACCCCTCTGTGGGACACGTAATGAATCTTGTCCACTCCCCACCTCATGCCCCTTCTCCCTTCATTCACACTCCTCCCAAGAGAAGCCGGGAGAGTTGTGCTAAGGGAGCAGAGGGCATGAGGCCTAAGAGCAATGCTTGTGAGCTCACAAGAGGCAGGGAGCCTTCCCAGGAGAGACGCTGCTGGAGGATTTGCTGTGCTGCTGATCTCTGCCCATAGGTTTTGACATTGTACGGGTGATAACTTTAAAAGGAGTAAACAGAATCTCAAGATAATTGTAGATAAGATATAAACACAAGGGAAGGTAATTTCATGGAATAAGTGGACCTTGAATCAGACAGCAAGGAAAGAGGGAAGTCATTGAAGTAGAGCCTAGGAAAGAGGACATTTGACATGCCGGCCAGAAATCGAGGCAGCAGCCAGGGACGGAGAGAAGGGGGTGTCCACCTCTAATGGGCACAGAGGATGAAGTCCTGCTTTACCGCAGCAGCAAAGCCATAGGCCCTGCTCTGCTGAACTCATAATTGCAATGTCTCTTGTCTCCTCTCTTCAGCATCTTCTGGAAACAGCTGCATGCAAGTCTTCTAGACCCTCTCCTTCAACGGCCCAGCTTTTGGCATCCAGCTTTGAAAATTTTTTTAAGAACTTCAAGAAGGAAAGTAAAATCCTCTCTGAGGACACTATCACCTTGATTGAATCCCACCTGGAGAATAAGAACCTCCCGGGAGCGGTTTCTGCAATCAGCAATGCTCTGAGAAACATCGACAGAGCCCCACTGAACATCGCAGTGACGGGAGAAACAGGGGCGGGCAAATCCAGCTTCATCAATGCCCTGAGGGGAGTGTGGGATGAAGAAGAAGGTGCAGCTCCCACTGGGGTGGTAGAGACAACCATGGAGAGAACTCCATACCCCCACCCAAAGCTTCCCATGGTGACAATATGGGACCTGCCTGGGATTGGATCCACATCGTTCCCTCCCCAAAACTACCTAACGGAAATGAAGTTTGCTGAGTATGACTTCTTCATTATCATCTCGGCTACTCGCTTCAAAGACACTGATGCACATTTGGCCAAAGCCATTGCCAAGATGAATACAAAGTTCTACTTTGTCCGAACCAAGATAGATCAGGATATAAGTAATGAACAGAGGAGTAAATCCAAGACTTTCAATAGAGACAGCGTCTTAAAGAAAATCCGAGGTGACTGTTCAAGGCATCTCCAGGAGACTCTCTCCAGTGAGCCCCCAGTTTTCTTGGTCTCTAACTTTGATGTGTCCGACTTTGACTTCCCAGAGCTGGAGACCACCCTACTGAGCGAGCTCCCAGCCCACAAGCGCCATGTCTTCATGCTGTCCTTGCACAGTGTTACGGAGACTGCCATTGATCGGAAGAGGGATCTCCTGAAACAGAAGATCTGGCTGGAGGCCTTGAAGGCTGGAGCTTGGGCCACCATTCCATTTGGGGGCCTGGTCCTAGATAAGATCCAGAAGGTAGAGGAGACCTTGGACCTCTACAGGTCCTACTTTGGGCTGGAAGATACCTCGCTGGAAAATATTGCCAAGGATTTTAACGTGTCTGTCAATGAGATCAAAGCACACCTTAAGTCTCTCCATTTGCTAACAAGGACCAACGACATGTCCTTAGAAGAAAAACTATGGAAATACATTGAATATATTTCCTCTGTTACGGGGGGACCACTTGCCACAGGCCTTTACTTTAGAAAGACTTTCTATTTGAAAAATCTCTTCATTGATACCGTGGCAAGTGATGCCAAGACTCTTCTCAATAAGGAATTTTTATCAGAGAAGCTGAATGACCCCCCAGAATACTGGGAAGCAGCGATGGAGCTATGAGGCACTTACCTTCAGGCTGACTTTGGTCACTGACTTATGAGCTACTTATAGCAGCAAACGTTTTCTATGAAAGACCAGAGGGCTCACCTCTTTTAGAGACTGTGGCAGCTGAAGAAGAGTCATCAACAGTGTAAACACACATGGGAAAAGCTGTCTCCCACTAAAATAACATGATGAGAACACACAGGTGTATACAAGTGGCTTGTAATATCCTTCTGAAATTAAACTTGGATGTTTTGTCTCATGGAGATTCCCCAGGCATTGCCATATGAATATATTTTGGGGTTATGAAGGACAGGGTATATACAAGTAACTTGGAATATCCTTATGGAATTAACCTTTGATATTTTGTCTCACGGAGATTTCCCAAACATTACCAAACTCTCCTAAGATGAAGACACTGTTTCCTGCCTTGATGTTTTTTTTTTTTTGTTTTGTTTTGTTTTATGAAGTTCAAGGAGCTGGTTCCCAGCGTACATCTCCACATGAAGTGGCATCTCTTGGACACAAGAACTACATGGTAGATGATCTTTGGGATCATCGTCCATGCTCCTCCAGGAGGAGCTGAGTAACACACAGATGGGTGGACATATCTGCAGGTTCTTTTGGTCCTTGGAAACAAGGAAATTTTATTCCATATCCTTTATCAGTCAACCTGTGTGAGTTCAGAATTCAGGTTGTAGGCAAAGTAAACACTAATTAAATTGTTTCTCCTTGGGGATAAGGTCACTCCAAGACATTACCTTACTGCTTTAATGTCTAGGAGACTTTGTTGGTGTTTAGCCTCACTTGAGACCAGTTAGCATGTGGAGTTGTTGCTTGTTTCTTTATCTACAGCATCCTTTGAGACCCAATGTGTCTTTTGGGCATCCAACATCACCCTTTGTTAAAATCCCAGTGTTGCTTTTTCTATATGTAGACCTGCCCTTCTAGAAGGAAAGTAAGGAGTCATGCATGGGATGCAATGTGCAGAAAACCAGCACGTACATTTTAGCTCTGCATTGGGCCTCTTCAGAGAAAAGGAAGCAATATATTATATCCATATCTTCTTATTGCTGCATCTATATAGTGTTAGAGTTAATTCCTTTCATGCCACAGTGCCCTAAACACCTGACAGAAACTGCTGAAGAGAAGAAAGGTTTCATCTGGCCACAGTTTCAGAGAATTACCCTCTGTCATAACAGGAGGGGCGTGGGGAGGAAAACACTCAGTGTAAGAGAAGACGGTGAACAAGGTGGCAGAGAGCTAGGTGACAGCAAGGGGCAGGAGTATCAAAGTACTGGCTCTTGTGACTTGCTTCCACCACCTAGGCCCTCCCTCCTAAAGGCTCAACAACATCAGAAAAAATAATGCCATGTTGGGGACCGGGTGATTAACACCAGGGTCTGTGGTGGTCTTCAAACCAGAGCACTATCATATCCTCAAATTACCACATCTCTCTTCTCAACTTCCTCTCCTCCTTTCTCTCCTTTCCCTCTTCCTCCTCTTGTTCTTCCTTCTCTTCTCTTTCCCTCCTCTCCCCCTTCCTTCTTCTCTTCTTCTCCCTGATTCTCTCTCTCATCTTCTCTCCCTGCTTCTGTCTCTCATTGGCTCACTCAGCTGTGAGACTTGCCAAGTACAGGAGCTACAGGGCAGCCTTGCAGCCCGGAAATCTTTGGAGGAGCTGATAGTACAGCTTCCGGCCAAACAGCAAGAATTCTTTCCTCTCCTTCCCAGAGGGTGTCAAGGTTTGTTTTGTTTTTGCTTATCTCTAAGGTCTTCAGTTGGTTAGGCAGGGCATTTGCAGTAGAGTCATCGGAAGTATTCCAAGTATTCAAAGTCTCCTGCTTTAAAATTTAATCTCATCTTAAACTTACTTTCACAATAACATCTACAGTGGTGCTTGGTAATTACTTGGGCACTCTCTTAGATAGGGTCTTTGTTGCTGTGAAGAGACAGCATGACCACAGCAACTCACATAAAGGAAAACATTTAATTGGGTGGCTTACAGAGGTTCAGTCCATTATCATCATAGTGGGACATGAAGCAGGCAGGCAGACAGAGTGCTGGAGAAGGAGCTGAGAGTTCTGCATCTTGATCAGCCTACAGCAGAATGAGTCTGTGTTCCCCACTGGGTGTAACTTGAGAATAGGAAACCTCAAAGCCAGCTCCCCACAGTGACACATTTCCTTCAACAAGGCCACCCTCCTAATAGTGCCACTTCCTGTGGGAGGCCATTTTCTTTCAAACTACCACAGGTACCATCACATCGACAAGATGCTATGTCAAGGTAATTTCCTCAAACTCCACAGTTACCCTAACCCACTCTATATCAGCAGACACACGTAGTTACATGGTCATAGTTACAATCGTACTCCTTTGTGAGACGCAGTGTGACAACTTTACTCAAATAAACAATGCATAATCATCCAATCTTGAGAGATGGCTCCGCAGTTAAGAGCACTGACTGCTCTTCCAGAGGATCTAGATTCAATTCCCAGCATCCTCTTGACAACTCATGACTGTCTGTAACTCAGCTCCAAGGAATCTGGCCCCCTCACCCAGACGTGCATGCAGGTAAAACACCAATGCACATCAAATAAAAACAAACAAATCATGTTTTAAAAGCTGGGGTGTCAGGCTTCCATATTCTTAGACATATTAAAATTATGGTGATTAACAGATGATACTTTCCAACATTAAGGTGTACGTGTATACAGTAGATGCTGACCAATTCAAGGTATGTTTACCACTTTATTGTCATTGCCCCAGATCTGGGGCACCTGACTGTCTCTGTTCTGCTGATTTGTAAAGAGCTTAATAGATTGTTTTAAACAAGAATCTCTGTGCTGCACTGCAGCATGCTAGAACACGCTCCTTCCCTCTAGCCCTTTGGTACCTGTTATCCAAACTCTCTTTGCCCCTCAACCTAACTTCCAGCTTCTAGGAATCACTGTTCTGCACTCAGATCAACCATTAGTGTCCCATTGCAGGTGAGCAGAATTAGTAAGTACTTCTCTCTCTGCTTCATTGTCCTTTGAGACCCCCAGCTGCTGAGCTGTCTGCTCCTGAGATCACTTACCTGCCCCTCTGTCATGTTGAACACCCAGGCCCAGTCTCACTGGCCTTTAGTCTATTTCTGTGCTTTCAGCAGTAATAGTCCCGGGGAAAAGCCATTATAGTGTATGTAGCAGGGGAAGTTGTCAGCAGAGATGTCTGTCTGAGGATGGAAGCTTTCTGTCCTATATGTGGGAAATATTTCAATACATTACAGATTTGTGTGTGATGGTTTATATCGATTTTCAACTTGACAGGACCTAGAGTCACCTTGGAGCCAAATCTCTGGAAATGTCTTTAAGGGATTATCTCAATTAAACTTACTAATTGATTAACTAATTAACTTGATTAACTAATTAACTTGATTAACTAATTAACTCGATTAACTAATCAAGATGGGAAGACCCACCTTAAATGTGGGCAGTGCCATCCCCTAGGCTGGAGCCCTGGACTGCATTAAATAGAGAAATCAAGGCGGGCACCAGCGCTCCTCTCTCTCTGCTCCCTGAGTGCAGATGTGATGTGATCAGCTGCCTTCCCATCACAGAGGACTGTAGCCTTGAACCATGAACCAAAATAAACTCCTTCTCTCTTTAAATGTTTTTGCCAGGGTATTTTATCCCAGCATCAGAAAAAGTCACTATTAGGGTAACTGCCCAGCTGAGCAGTGGTGGCTTACACCTTTAATCCCAGCACTTGGGAGGCAGTGCAGGCGGATCTCTGTGAGTTCAAGGCCAGCCTGGGCAAGATCTAGGATATCTAGGGCTATTATACAAACAAGCCCTGTCTTAGTTAGGGTTCTTTTGCTGTGAAAAGACACCATGACCACAACGACTCTTAAAAAGAAAACATTTCGTTGGGGTGGTTCACTTAGAGCTACAGAGGTTCAGTTCATGATCATCATGGCGGGGAGCATAGTAGCATGCAGGCGGACTTGGTGTTAGAGAAGGAGTTTGCAGGCAACAGGAAACATCTGAAAGTCACACTAAGGGAAGGCTGAGCAAAAGAGACCTCATAGCCCACCTCCACAGTGACACACTTCCTCCAACAAGGCTATACCTACTCCAATGAATGCACAACTTCTAATAGTGCCACTCCCCATGAGCTTATGGGGGCCTATTACTTCAAACTACTACAAACCCTGTCACAAAAAAAACAAAACAAACAAAAAGAAACAAACCAAGTAACTGCCCGTTGATCATCAACTGCCCTTTGAGTTTCTACCCACTCAACCTGTGGTGTATGCAAACTTCCAGTCTGTTTAATCCTGTGTGTGGTAGATGTGTGTGATATGTGTGGAGTGGGCGAGCATGAATCCTGCCTACAGTTTCTCGGACATCAGAATGATGTACTCAGTGCTAAATCTTAGAACTGTACAAGGAAACCACTGGTTGAACACATGAAGCAAAAAGCAATAGGAAAGCCTGGCGATGGTGGTGCACACCTTTAATCCCAGCACTCGGGAGGCAGAGGCAGGTGGATCTCTGTGAGTTCGAGACCAGCCTGGTCTACAGAGCTAGTTCCAGGACAGGCTCCAAAGCCACAGAGAAACCCTGTCTCGAAAAACCAAAAAAAAAAATAGGAAGAAAGTCCTCATGGACATCCCAGAACCAGACAACAGAGAAATATCTGAGCTGCACATTTAGTAGCTATGTGCTTTCACCTGTATGTCTACAGTAAATGCAAAGGTCTTTCTGTACATTGATCCTCATCCTACACAATAAGCAATCTTTGATATTTTCTCCATCAGTCCAGCAATGTACAGAAATGAGCACACAGAAACCATGGGAAACCCAAGGCCTGCTCTAGCATCTGAAGATGGGCATGGGGTGTATGTACCAATGCATGGGGAGTTTGGAGCTTGGGAGACTATGCCCTGGGGAACATTGAGCTCCCTCCATTGAGTTCTGGATTCCCTAAGAGGGAAAAACTATTTTCTTTAAGGATGGGGATGGTTCCTGGTAGGAAAAAAAAGGGCCTCACCCTCATGGGTATATGGGCAGCACAAATTGGACAAATATCACATGTACTGACTCATATGTGGTTTTTAGACATAAAACAAAGAAAACCATCCCACAAATACAATCCCAGAGAACCTAGACAACAATGAGGACCCTAAGAGAGACATACATAGTTCTAATCTACATGGGTAGTAGAAAAAGACGAGATCTCCTGAGTCAATTGGGAGCATGGGGACCATGGGAGAGGGTTGAAGGAAAGGGGAGAGGAAGGAATGAGAGCAGATAAAAATGTATAGCTCAGTAAGATCAATAAAAAATGCAAAAACTTTAAGAATATTAATATATTTCAGGTTTGCTCACCAGGCAGTTGATTTTTTTGTTGATTGTTTTGAGTGCTTTATCTGAATATATTATGAAATGTCTTGAGGATTTGACTCAAATATAAACTCAAAATAAAGAAAAAAAGAGGACATGAAGCTGGAAGGGAACTCAGGAAGTAGGAGTGGACCTGGGAGGAGTTAGGGAGATAGTGGGCATGAATATGATCAAAATGCATTGCATGCATGAAATACTCAAATATCTAATAAAAACTGTACTTTCTAAGAAATTATGGAAACAGAGTAAATGGGGGAAAACAGAATTGCTTTGTTTTAGAAGGACAGACAAACATGTCTGTAGCCCATTAGTCCTTTCTTCCTGACTGGAGCTGGTTCTATTACCCTGCCTCCTCACAAAGAGGGAACTTATCTTCTTGGAGATTCCCTCCAAGAAGCTCAGGCCCAGGTTTCCCTTCCCTCAACTTGGGGCATAGCTTTGAAAGCTATGAATGGAAGCAGTTTGGGTTCAGAAATGATTTATTACAGAAACCCTCACCCTGCTCTGCTGAGGTGTGTGACACAGATGATTAAACTGACAGGAGGGGCTGGAGGGATGGCTCCACGGTGAAGAGCACTGGCTGCTCCTCCAGAGGACCCAGGATCGATTCCCAGCACCCACATGGTGGTCTGGCTTGGTCTTCTGTCTTTCTGCTCATTCAATTCTTGTCGATGCCAAGGAACAAACACTGCAATTCCCTGGATGGCTTAAGGTTATACATAGAGTTCCAGGATGCCAGGGAAAGGGACTGAGATTTTGACTCAAAAATTCAAGATAGACAGACAGTAACAAAGACAGACAGAGGAAAGGCAGACAGATGAAAGGGAGAGAAAAGGGGAGACAGAGCCAATGCTGGGTACCAAGGGAAGTGACAATGACAACTCTGATTCTGCCTTGGAGTTGACTGTGCCTACCCTCAGCTACTTCCTGCTTGGGTGGGAGGAAGTCAGGCACAGAGAGACAGGACATTGCAACACAAGAGAGAGGAGATCCGGCAGTGTGATGGGCAGGATTTGTGCTCAGGGCTCCAGAGCAAGGCTCTGGCCAATGGTGTTGCATGAGACACCCAGCTCCTGTCCTGCCCAGCCTGTCTCCTTCCAGCATAAGACACAGGCTCAGCTCTGTGCTCCACCCTGCTCCTCTGTATTCAGATTTGCAGAGAGAATTTCCCGTAATTACCAAACAGCAGAGGCCATAAAAGAGCTGCCCTGGCCTTCTGAAGGAAGCGTGGCTCCTGTGCCCTGCACCTGCTTTTCCTAGAATTCCCCACTCATCTCACTTCCATCTTGGGAAGATCACGAGTGTTAGTGCTGCTTTGACATGGTGAACCCAGTCCCTGGCTCCATCCAGAAGGAAACCTTTCACCAAACGGTTCTGAGCTCTTAGGAAACTGAGCTCCCCTTCCTACCCCAGCTCAGCGCCCCTTTCCTCTCAGCCTCCTGCATACTGTCCAGAGACCACTTCTCCTCTTTCTGGATGAAATCGTCTCTCCTGTGAAGGTGGTGAAGCGGGGGGAGCAGGTGAGAAAGGAAGCTTGTCAGGGAGCAGGCAGGGTGAGGTGTGCAGTCATCTGAGGGGCCAGAGTGGCTCTGGAAGTTAATATTGCCCCAGGTAAGATGATGTAAACTAGGAAGATGGGGTCCAGGTGGGGATTCTATACAGTCAGACCCAGGAAGGCCTGACCCACTGGCTGAACTGTGGTCATCTCTGGGCAGGATATGCAGAGCAGGAGTTAGGCTCTGCCCCTCTGAGAGGGATGAGGAAATGACTGAACGTGCAAAAAATTTCCAAACTAGGAATCAAACCACCCTCACTGCAGGCCCCGCCCCATAGGGCCACAGGCACAAAGAGCCCAGGGGTAGAAATTGCAGAACAGAGGAGGAGCTTTCGATGAACAGGATCTGGAAGGAAATCCTGGAAGATCAGAGCACTCTCAGTTCCTGGGGCTCTGGATGGCATAGGAGGACCTAAGAACTTCACAGTTCACCACACAACAGACCCTGTGTTAGCTCAAGCCACTTCCTTAGAGAGAGGGAGGTGACCCTTCAGGAGGAAAGAGGCATCTGGCCACAGTCACATAAGTAGAAGGCAAGTAGAAGGTTTCTGCTATTTTTCTTACTCGTTTCTTTGACAAAGACAACTTAAAAACAAGAGTTTATTTTTGTTTGTGGTTTATAAGGAGCTACTGTCTGTCTTAGTTACTTTTCTATTGCTCTGATAAAACACCATGACCACTTGAAAAAGAAAGCATTGAATTGGGAGCTTATATCCCCTAGAAGCCAGTAGGGAGAGCTAATTTCAGATGCTATAGACTTTTGAAACCTCAGAGCCCACTCCCAGTGACGTGACTTTCCAACAAGGCCACACCTTCTAATCCTTCTCAAACATCCTGCCAAATGTATTCAAAGCCTTCCAGCCTAGGAGCCTGTGGGAGCCATTCTCATCCAAACCAGCACACAGCCCAGGGTGGCACCAAGGTGGGAAAGCAGGAGCATGCGACAGTCGGTCACATCTCGTCTGCAGTCAGGAACAGAGAGCAACAAAAGCTGATGGTGGTTATTCGTTCTGTCCCTGCCCTGAGAACAGGAAATGAGTCACCCACAGTCAGGGTAGCTCTTGCTACTGCCACTAAACCTCCCTAAAAATACAACCACAGATACAACCAGAAGTTTGCTCTCTGCATAATGTAAAAGCCAATAAAATGACAGAAAGATTCACCATTACAACCCTGTTCTTGGAGTGACATGCAATTCAACCCCTGGCACCAGAACAGGAGAGCTGGAGGTCTGGTTTATTCCACTCAGGAGTTCACAACAGGGCCCCTCTGGTGCTCTTCTTTTAAAGATTTATGTAGTCATTTTATGTGTATGAGTGCTTTGCATGCATGTATATATGTGCGCCACATACAAGCCTTGTGCCCACAGAGGGAATGGGAATCAAAGTAGGCTGTGAGGCACCATGTGGGTGCTGGGAATTGAACCTGGGTGCTGGGCAAGAGCAACCAACGCCCTCAGACTCTTTGCCAACTCTCCACCTTGTGGTGGTCTCTGTACCAACTAGCACACTCTGTTTCCTGTTTATACTCATCTAACACAGCAGTGCGGAGGAAAATATCCCTTCTATCTGCCTACGCTCACTTCCTGGATCTTCTGATGGGGCTCATGTAGTGTTATTTCATTTGTATTTTAATAAATAAAGTTTGCCTGAAGATCAGAGAGTAAAACAGCCCCACTGGTCAGCCTTACAGACTAATAGTGGTAACATACACCTTTAATCCCAGTAGCCACACTAGTTGCCGGGTGGTGCATGCCTTTAATCCCAATGGTGCACACCTTTAATGCCAGCCTGAGTGGACTATAAAATGGGAGGAGACAGCTCACAGACACAGTCTCATTCTGAGATTTCTGGAGACAGAGTCGCCATTTCAGACTGAGGTTGAGGTAAGAGCCAGTGGCTGGCTGTTTTGTTTTCAGATCTTCAGGTTGAACCCCAATATCTGTCCCTGAGTTTTTTTTAATTGTACTTCAGGCTCAAGTTTGGGGGATAGAGCAGAATGTGCTCCACAGATCTAAGGGTATCTCTACTATAACCTTCTTATTTTCCTTAGAGGGTTGAAGCCCACTGTTAGAACTCCCACAGACAATGCCTCTGTAGTGACACTTCACTTGTATTTTAATAAATAAAACTTGCCTATATTCTGCCCTGCCATAGGTCAAAGCATCTTCCTTATTAACCATTGCTAATAAAACGTATTCACAGCATACAAAGGGGAATCCCACATCATACCTTGGTTATCCTGAAAGTGTGAGAACTCTAGCCCCTCACCCACACGAGCCCCTCACCCACCTCTCATGGAAGGGGAATCTCAAGCTAGGGTTGAAAGAGGCGCTGTCTGTGCACCCTTCCAGTTTGACTCAGCTCAAGTATTTGATCTGCATTGAGAAGCCAGCTCCACAGCCAGGCACAGACTCGTCCCTCTGTACACTATGTGAATGCAGTGGGAACTTCCCAAATTCCCCTTTTTCCACTTTCCTGTGTATGCCCTGTGAGCCATGGGCATGGTCGACCATGAGGAAGCAGATTAAGTCCTTCTGGACTAAATCAACACACTGGTGTTAGCTCACTCTTCCCCCTACTGGACAAATGTGGAATAAAACCAGATATTTGACCTGGTGGTTGTGGTACAAGCCTTGAATCCTGTCTCAAATAAATAAATAAATAAATAAATAAATAAATAAATAAATAAGAGATAT